TTCATTTATTTTAATTCGACTAGAGAGAGACAGAGAGAGAAAGTGAGAAAGCAAGCCACCAGGTCCAGGACTTGAACCACGGTTAGCCATGTGAGAGTGTCTAGCACCTTACCCACCATGCCACCTGCTGGTCCCCCAAATTTTATTTATTTTATAGCCATGGGATATGTGCACTCAGTGGAGAGGAAGAAAGCATCGCCCAGTGCGGCACGTTCATGCTGCAATTTCTTCTCCTCCATTTCTGCATCCCATAAGATTTGAGGCATGTATCCGGCATGTTTTTCAAACTGTGGAAGCCAGGACTTAAACTGCGATTGGCCATGTGGAAGCTGGCTCTCTGTGTAGAGCCTTAACTGCTGTGCTCTGAGGCTAGCCTCAGCTTAGTGTCTCATTTCTGTAACTCCCGTGGAGGTGAGGACCATGTTCCATTTGATATCCACACATCCCCTACCACAGTGCTGGGCCCTTCTGAGGCTTGTAGAAATTGTGTGGCTGCCACCACTAGAAAGTCAAGCTTGAGAAGGTGGGACTGGAAGGTTTTGAAGAAGCCATCAGAGACCAGAAGTTCAGGGTGTAGCCGATGGAAGATGGGTACCCCAGTGTGGGTGGGACAGTGAAGCTTAATGGTGGGCATTCAGCAGCCAGAGACCCATACTAGCTTTAGGAGAAAGGGAGAGGTGTTGGGACAAGGAAGCAGTCAATTCATGTCAGAGCTTGGTTAAGAACCACCCCCTGGAGTCCTCCAGACGGCCCCTATCTTTGTGTCAATGCAGGGCTCAGACCAGGGGGCCTCTGCGGACCTCCAGCAAGATGGGAGTGGGTGCAGGGGATGCATGAATGAGATGTGGCTTCAGGAGAGATGGGGACTTGGTGGGTGGAGCCAGAGAATAAGTCCCTGGCCAGGAAGGGGGATGGGGGACAGGGCACTCAAAATGCCACAGACCACAGGGCTTCCTGCAAGTCCAGGGACATGGCGAGTCCCTGAGTCCCCAAGGAAAAACTGAGCCCCAGGGTTGACACATGTTAGGTGCCAGAGTCACTGAGATTCTTAGAGAGTTATGACTAGGTGGAGAACATGGGCTGACTCCTGGGGCACCAGGAAGAGAGAATAAGAATGACAATGACCACCATCACTGCGGTGGTACCTTTACACTTGTGCAGTGTTTCCCAGTTTACTGAGGACCCTCCCGTCTATTAGCTCATCTGCAGAGCGGGTGGAGGAGTTTCAATGGCCTCATCCCCACAGGCTCCCGAGAAGACCTTGGCCTTTACCTTTCCATCTTTCTCTTTTCCATATCTGGGGCTGAGAACTTATCCCAAGATCTGTGCGGCTTTGGAGCAGGGTGAGAGGAGGGGATAGCCCTGGGAGTGCACTCCTTCCAGCAGACCCTCTTTTTCTCTCTTCACACTGCCCTTTGTCTTTCTCAGAGACATTCCCTACATCTGCTTTCCTGGGTTTCTTTTTTTTTTTTTTTTGGAGAGATTTTTGCTATAGGGCGTGTGCGCTCGCCAGACAGAGAGAGACAGAGAGAGACAGAGAGACAGAAAGCGAGAAATCACCCCCCAGGGGGGATGGTCATGCCGCAATCCCTTCTCCTCCATTCTCCTCTCAGGGTCTTGGGCACGCACGCACGCACACACGCCCGGCGTGAGTTTTAAGCCACCGGGTCTGGGATGCGAACCGTGGTCGACTACGTGGGAGTCCAGCGACATAGCCATTACGCTAACTGCTGATTCCCTGAGGCCACAGAAATAGAATGTCTCTTCTCTTGTCTCCTAGAAGGAAGGGGCTCTGGGTTAGAAGGGGACCAGGGCTCCTGCCACCTCATTGGCATCTCAACAATCCCTATTTCTTTTTTTCTTTTGTCTTTAGTTTTTGTGTTATGGCTTGTGTGCTAGCCAGTGAGGTACAGAGAAAGAGGCCGACAGAGGGAAAGTGAGAAATCACCTCACCCCCAGGGGGTGGGGGGGATACATACCAAAGTCCCTTCTCCATTCTCCTCTTGGAATTTTCGGCATGCACATACACACCCCTGGTGTGAATTTCAAGCCGCCAGGTCTGGGACTCCAATCAAGGAATGTGGGATCCAGCCTCTTTAACCTCTATGCCACTTGCTGGTTTTGTTTCTTTTATTATTATTATTTTTTCTTTCCTTCCTTTTTCCTTTTGTGTTTGTTATAGGACAAGTGCACTTGCCAGAGAGAGACAGAGAAAGGGAAAGTGAAAAATCACTCCCCAGGGTGCATGGCCATGCTGTAATCCTTTCTCCTCCATTCTCCTCTTGAGATTGTGGGCATGCACATCGATATGCCTGGCATGTTTTTCAGGCTGCCAGGTCCAGGACTCAAACCATGGAGTCAGTCATGTGGCATCCAGTGCCTTAAATACCACGCCACTTACTGGCCCCAATAACACCTATTTCTTTCCTTACTTGTCCCGTCTATAATACTAGGTCCACCCCTTGCTTTCCATTTTGTTCTGCCAATGGCTCTGAGTTCTGCCTGCCATGCGGGGCAAAGGTCTGTACCTGTCTCCTACACCAATCCAGGTCTCAACCTCCTTCCTGATGGTACAGATGATAGTCCCAGTCATGGCCCGGATATATGCTCCAAAATTTCTCCATGAGCACACCAGTCCTTCCAACTCAGTCTAGTTTTGTAAAGTCCAGCCTAGATCTGCAGCCCGCCCCAGGCTGGCCGGGCAAGTGACAGAGAAAGATGAAAGGCATGCCGCAGCCCGGATGACAAATGCCTGCGACAAGAAAGCTGGGGCATGTACGGAAGAAAAAGAATGGCTGGCCTCAGGGAAACGCCGCTCTCTGCAGAGATGGGGACAAAGGATAAGGACGAGCAGACCTTTTATACAACCCATCAGCTCACTTAGAATTTTCAGGTTAGGATGTATAAATGTGAGTCAGGTGACTCCATCTATTTTAAAAATGTGGTATGACCGTCTGGATCTATGCGACATCGTCACTTAGGAGCCAGAGAAAGAAGGGTCTGGGGAGTGTGAGTAACACAACTGAACCTTAGTCTCATGGGGAGGCTTTCTGGTAAAAAGGAAGAGGGAAGTTACATGGAGTCTGCGGAGGATCTACTGGAATCAGTTCATCATTGCTCAATGGAAATCAGTAGGGACACAGGAAAACGTACAATCAATTTTAGTGGAACATGTCTAGGGTACAAAACTGAAGTCAAGATGTGTGTAGTTAGACTGTGGTAACAACTACAAAATCTTAGTGTCTCATAATAATGAAGATTATTTTTCATTTATGCTACATGTCCATTGTGAGAAGACTGTAGACTGCTCAGTCATTTGTGCTCCTGGGCTGATGAAGTGACACTGGGACACTCAGTTGGGCACACTCATGGTTTCATAGCAGAGGGAAGAGAGACTGACAGGCTGAATCATTCACCAGTCCTTCAATGCTCCTGTCTGAAAGTGACATCTATGACTCTGCCCACATTTCATTGGCCAAAGCCAGTCATATGACCAACCTAAACTCTCCAGGGGGCAGAAGTATAATCTTTAGTGAACAGTAATAGAATCTACCACGCCAAGGGCTCGGAAAGTCAGTTCTGCTTTGAGGCCTGAGATCCAGCTTCACTACCTATGGGGTGATACAGATCTTCAGGATCTAATTGGTGGACAACTGTCTTGGAATGGAGCTTTAAACAAATGAAGCGATGCATCACGTAACAATGTGTCATTAGGCGATTCTGTCATTTTGTGAACATCAGAGTGTAAAGCACAAACCTAGATGGTGTGGCCTAGAACTACGTAGGCCGGACAGTGTAGACAATATGTGCCTTATGGATACAGGCATATCCAGTCTGCCGTTGACTGAAAGGTTGGTATGTGGCGTGTAACTTGACAAGTGTAAGAATAGCATGTAAGCTTTAAGAGGGTGGAGTCATGGTCTGCTTTGTCCTCTGGTGAATCTCAAGGGGCTAGAAAAGGCCCTTCAAGACATATTTGTTGTTGAATGCACTATAAGTGGGCTTAAGATGCAATTTGACCCTTCCTGCCTCAGTTAAGGGGGGTCTGAGTTCCGTCCTCTGACGTCTTTCGGTGTGGAGATGGAGGCGTACCGAGAGAACCAGTGGCTCTCTCATGGAACCCAGTGAGTTGGACTTCCCCATCTGCTTGGGGATGCTGTTTTTGGCCTCTGTTTTGGTCTCTCCCAGAGGTCTGCAAACATTTTTCTGTAAAGCGCAGATGTTAAATCAGGCTTCGTTGTAGTAAAGGCAGCCATAGTCAATGTGTAATGAACAGTGGGGCCATGTTCCGACCAACTCGACAGGCAGTGGCCAGGGTCAGCGGGCGGAGGTAGTTTGGCTTCTCAGCTCTTGTTTTTCCAGTGTCCTTTTCAGAACCATTTCCAGGTCATGCATTTTCTCACTCTCATCTGCAGTATTGTTGTTTCCAGATCTCTCATCTGCTTGAGGTGTTTAAGGTTTTTGTTTCTTTTAGTCCCAGGGAGCATTTCCATCCCCAACCTGGTCAGGTTTTGAATCTTGCTGCATGGCCGTGAATCCCTGGTGCTCTACCCCCTGTGTATCCTCATCTGCTTTGAATGCGGAACCCCTCTCCTGTTTGACCTTCTCTAAGGACTCCCTGGAATATGGTAGGAGATGGGAAGGGCACACGACTGTGTGAAGGAAGAGGAGCCTGCCTCTCCTCTCTGTCTTTGCATTTTGGTTGGTCTGAGAAGTATAAAAATCCACTTTCTTAGAGATGTGGCTCAGCTATTTTCATGTTATGGAAACTGATGCCTCAGACTCATGGAGCTTTTTCAAGCTGGAATGCCTCTGGGGTAACGTGACAGTCTGGGGAGTATTAGCCAGCCGCCCCCTCTTTCTGGGTCAAGACCAGGCTTATGTAATTAGAAGTCCACAGAGGAGACGAGTCAGACGGTCAGATGCACCCTGGCCAACAACCTTCCCCCGCAGCCTTTCATCTGTTTGTCACAGAATTTTAGAGCAGGAAGAGACCTTGTACCTAATGAACTCTTCAGCTCGTTCTAGCCGGATATGTGAACATTGCAAGGACCAGAATGCAAGCCTCCTGGTGTCCTCGATGTCACAGTCAGAGCCCAGGACCCTCATGGGTATTCCACACCCGTCAACTAACTTAGACTGCTGTCCACCACCCCTCCCCACCTCTGCTGACAAGGTACACACATCTGTGACCCACCCTGTGGGAACCAGGGACAGAGGGAAGGCGGGAAGGAGGGAAGGGGGAGGAGGCGGCCTTCCAGCATAGACAATCAGAGACTCGGCCTTGACTCGGTTGTTAAGATAGCTACCGCCTCCCATATCCAGCAGGCAGGGAGCACTGACCTAGGGAGTTTGAGCCCCCATGGGGAGGAGAAGCCATCCAGAGAGGAAAGATAAAGAGGGAAGGGGGGAGTCTGGTCCGCTCCCACCTCCCGGCTGGCTGCTATTCCAGCCAAGTGGCTGAGCTGGAGAGAAAGAGAACTGATAACAGATAAGGGGCTTGCTTTCCTATGGCCTTGTTTATACAAGCTTGGGTTTTTGCAGGCTGCTCCCTGAGGATGGGGGGGTGGATGAGCTTTGTGAGTGGAGGGCAGTGTGGGGTTCCTGAACTGAGGCATGCTCTCAGTTGGCTAAGGCCTGTGGGGCTTATAGATCTGCCCCGTAACTCCCACCCCCATTCCCAGACTTTGGCAAGAAGCCTGCTGGGTAAAGGCTTGAGCTCAAATGCAAGGCCTTCCACACTTGAATAGGGATGCTTTTCACCCCAAAAGCAGTGGAGATGGCAACTGAACCTCTCACTTGGCATCTGGTCTCCGGGCATCTGAGAAACCATTTGCAGTCACAGCAGAACCTTGTGGTAACATGATTGAGCTAATTCAAAACTTCCTTTGGCCCAGCCACGGTGGCTAGCTGAGTGACTGTGTTCCACGGGGTGCAACCACACGGGAGGCTTGGGTTTAATTTCTGGTCCAACCTATAGGCTGGCGTGGTGGTGTGCCCCTGTAGTCTCGGCACCTCGGGGAGGCTGAGGCAAGACCATCATGAGTTTGAGGCTGGCCTGGGCTACATAGCGAGATCCTGTCCAAAAAAGGGTTTGGATGTACTGGGGCGTGTCTGGAGTCCCAGCTGAGAGACTGAGGTAGGAGCATCATGACACAGCAAGACCTTGTCTTAAAAGAAAGAAAAGAAGAGAGAAGTAAAGGAATAAAGAAAGAAAGAAGGCAAGTTGGCCCTCTAGCACATCAGGGTCCTGAGAGGATGAAGAATTGGAAGAAAAAGAGTTGAGGCATAATTAGGCCCCATTTAGGGGTTCTCTCTCTGTCTCTCATGCACACGTGCACAAGAAGGCATTCCCTGCATTGTATTTGTCTGCTTCCCTTTGTATTATGTCTGAGGGCCTGGAAGCTATTGGACAGCAAACTCCACATGGCGGGTGCCGTGCTAGGGAAGAGGCATCAAGTCTCGAACAAAGTGGATGTAATCCATGCCCTTGTGGAGACCGAAAGCAACTCAGAGATTGTGTGACTCATTGGCCAGTGTAGGATTTGCAATGGAAGCATATGGCAGTTGGGAAAGGCTTGTGGTTGGGAAAGACTTTATGATAAGATAGTAGCTAAATGGAGGTTTGAGGGAAGAGCAGGATTGCCTAGCCAATTGTGAGAGGTGTGGAGGGAGTGCATCCCAGGCAGAGGACTCACCACAGGTGAGGCCATCATGGGAGCAAGAGAAAGTGGGCATTAGTGGGAGCCCAGAGAGGGAGGAGGCAGTGGTGAGAAATGAAGATACAGAGGTAGGCAGGGGCTAGTTCATGTGATGGGGGGTGGGGGCTAGAAGGGGGAGAGAGATTCTGTCCAGTTTTACAACCCTCCATTCAAAGGTTGCACAAGAAAGGGATTCTGGAGGGAGGGAAAGAATGGGACCAGGGGTTGACTGGTCGGGATGGGAGGAGGGAGAAACCCGGGACACTTTCTACATAGGAAAGTGGGAACCACCGTCATTTCTGAGATATTCTTAGGTGGTGAGTCCTGGAGCAGAAGCTTCTTAGCCTCAGCTGGTTGCCCTTCTGTGTCAAAGTTCTGCAAATGCTGTGGGTTTGGAGGTCTTTCCTGTGGGTGCTCCTCTTGGCCTCAGCCCCACTGTGGCAGCCTTAGTTTGAGATGACACCAGACTGGAGAAGTTGTCCTGGGAGACCTATATCTCCGAGGTAGGAGGGGTGGGACCCAGGTGAAGGCTGAGTGGCAGCTCGTTCAGGTAGGGCATGCTTCCTTTGAAGCTCTGTGTCTGCCTGCCCCCGTCCCCCACCTCCACCACCATCTTGCCCTATAGGGTGGCAGTGAGAATGATCCAGAACACCTTGCTGATGTCCAACTCAACCCTTCTGTGTTTATAAGTCATTCCCAAAACCTTCTAGGAAATCAACCATCTGTCACTCCTTCTTTCTGTCATTCCATTCTATTCAACGGTTATTGAGAAATTATTGATTTTCTGGCACTAACACATAGTAGGTGTCTTCATTGGGTTAAGTTCCATACCTTGGTCCAGGAAAACCCAGAACTGGTAATACTAAGTTTAATAGGTCAGGGTACAGGCTCCAATATCAGACTATTGGGGTTCAAATTCTTTTAACAACTCTGTGGCCTGGGGCAAATCTCTCCATTTCTTTGCAGCTCAGTTTCCTCATCTACAAGACAGATAACAATAGCAGCCACTGCCTGGGCTACTGGTGAATTAGATGAGGGCATCCCTGTTTAAGGCTTAGTGCATCGTAAGTGGTTAATGAATATTAGTTTCTAATTTATTTTTCTAATTGCCAGATTGCACATGTACTTGCTGGAGAGAAAGAGAGAGAGAGAGAGAGAAAGAGAGAAAGAGAGAGGAAGACAGCACCCCCAACTGGGATATGGTCATGCTGTAATCCCTTTCTTCTATTTCTCCACCTCGTTGAGATTTTGGGCAAGCCCACGTGCATACACATCTGAGGTGCTTTTGAAGCCTTTGGGGCCAGGATTCAAGCAATGGTCTGTCATGTGAGATCTGGCTCCCTTAACCACAAGACTACAAGGCCAGGGCAGTTACTATTGTTGTGTATACCAGATGTTTACTTTGTGAGCAAAAACTTGGTAAGAAGAAATCTTTCTTGAGAAGTAATGCAATGATATTAAAGCTATCTATCCAACAGCAACTATTTTTATTTTTATATTTACTTCTAATATTTATTGTGAGACCATAATAAAAAAAATCCAGAAGTGTGAGGAACTATATTCTTTCTTTTCTTTTGAGCTACTCCAGGAAACCTGCTATATATAGACTCAGGAAATAACTATGGGTGTGGGAAACACCCCCACATCCAAGCTGAGAGGTGAGAACCCTGGATTTGTATTTCTGTTTCATCCCTTATGTCTTGTGTGATTGTGGATATGTGTCTTAGCACCTCAGAACCTGTTTTTCCTCATCTGTGAAATGGGAATAGCCCCTCCGGCCCTCCCCCGTAGGTTGAGAAATAGCACTCCTACGGGCAAAGTGCCTAGCACATAATAGAGGATTAGTAAGTGTAAGTTCCCGGCCCCTTCTTCAGATTTAGTGTGGGGTTCAGTGACTAGGAGGTACCCAGGGGTCAGTGTCACCAGGTAGGCCCAAATCCATCTCCGGCCTTCCCCACAGGATGCCCCTAACACACGCAACAGGACTGGAAACTCTGTTTAGTTTTAAAGCCCAAGGGTCTGGACTAAGTCTGTAGCTTAGTGGTTAGGGGAAACACGGCTGACCATGGTTCAAGTTCCAGCCCAGTGGCTTGAAAACATACCAGGCAGTGTGTGTGCATGCTCCAAGTCCTGGCAGGATGAAAAACAGAGGAGAAGGGATTGGGGCATGACCATGCCCCATTGGAGGGGGTGCTTTTTATCTCCGAGGAGAGTGTGTGTGTCCACGGGTCCAGCCTCTAGTTTGCTGACACCACTACAGAGAAAGAGGCGGCTCTATGAGCATCGCCAGGGCTGTCCCTTCAGCTGGCACGTTGGAGGGGAACTAGGAGAGGGAGAAGGTAAAGGCAAAGCCCTTTTCTGGAATCCCCTGGGGTTCTATCCTTGGTGGTCAGGGTGACTACTGCTGGGGGAAAGGACTCGGGATATTTGGGTGGGCGAGGACTGCAGTGGAGCAGGAGTTCAGGAAGAGCCAGTCACAGTGAGGGGCTGCGATGATTAAGAGGGGAGCTCATGAATCTGGCTGATTACCCCAGTCTCCTTGTCACCTCCTCCAACAAAGGGCCTTTCTCACATACCAGAGAATAGTATGTTAATAACAAATAATTGCCTATGTCTGTTGGACATTTTATAGATCAGGGTATTCTTTTATATTCGCCTTCTAATTTCAACCTCACAAAGGGGCAGAGAAAGGGAGATTATATTCCTATTTGACAGGTGACAAAACTGAGGTTCAGAGGGACTCTGGATCTTGCCCAAGCACATCCAGCTACGTCGGGACTTAAATCCAGGCCTTCGAGAGCCAAGGTACCCACAGCTGAAGGACAAGTAGGAGCTCTCTAGGCAACCAGTGATCTGATCGCTGGAATCATTTAGAAAGTTTTTCATTAAAAATCTAAAAATAAAAGTACTATCCGGCCCTTCTTCCTTTTCGGACCCATTGACTTCTGTTTCTGACTTGAGGACTACGGTCTCCGAGCGGAGGAGCATGGAGTGGCATGCCGAGATGAATCTTTTCTCCTGCAGATGGGGATTTAGAACGGCCTTACGGAAGGGTTTCAGAGCTGCTTATTAATAGGTGACTAAGTGAGGTTACAAAATCACGTCGTCTGGGCATCAGCTGTCACCGAAGGGATTAGGGGCCTCTCATCCATTGGGCCTGTTTCTAAGAGATCACACTAACAAACAGTGTGAACGTGAGGCCTTGGGAAGGCCCTTTACCTCTCTGGCCTCAGTGTGCAGATCCTTAAATGGATGAAAGTTGCTCTCCACCCACTCCCACCAGCCATTGCAATGACCCTGATTTGACCTTTCATATGCAGTTCCGTAGAGAAACTACCCTGAAACCATCTGGAAACCAGTCTAGCTCTGCTAATACTAAGTGGTGGCCCTGGACCTGCCACTTGGTCTCTCTGGGTCATGGTTTCCTCATCTGCAAAGTGCAGAAGGTGGCTCTTCAGTCCTTCCAGCTCCAACAGTCTGTGGAAGCAAATCACCAGGGCTGGGCTAGGAGAACTGGCAGAAAAGTGAGGCCTAGGGGCTTGCCTGGGTAGGTCTGAGTTGGGGGACCAAGTGGGTGAGCTGGGGGTCATAGAAGCCAGCAGACAAGAAGGACTCAGGGGAGAGGGCCTGGATGGTCTGAGTTAGAGGGTGGTGAACAGGGAATCAGGGCACCAGGTCAAGCAGTCAGACCTTGCTCATTCTTTTGGGCCATCTCAGTAGAGGTTTGTAGGGTCCCAGGCCCACTGGGGAGACTCTGAGGAGGCTGGAGTGCTGCCCCTGCTTGGTCAGGTGGGCCTCTCGCCTTGCAGATTTTTCTGGAAAGCTCTCTGCTTTGCAGCTCTGCCTGAGGCAGGTGAGGAGGAGAAGAGAGCAAATTCTCCAGCTGGGCTTTGTCAGCTGGTGAGGTGGGGACTAGCGGGAGATAAACGAAGCTCTCAGGAGGTAAACAATAGCTTTGCTCTCTGGTGTTCAGATCCCAGCATGGGAGAAAGGCAAGGCCACAGGTGTCCAGATCAGCCTGCTGTGTCATCTTGGGCAGGGCAGCTCGGGAAGTGGATGCAGGCAGGCGGAAGTGGATGCAGGCAGGCCTGCAGATAATGGCCAGACTGTTCACTCCAGCCTTTTGCGCTGTCCCATCAGGGTCACGCGCCCTTTCCTTTGCTGATTGATTTAATTGCCAGAGGGCGCATGCACTCACTAGACAGAAACAGAAGAGAGAGGAAAAGCACCTCTCCCACTCCCATGCCATGGTCATGCTGCATTCCCTTATTTCTTCATGCTGTCTGGATTTTAGACACACATGCATAATGCACCTGGCATCTTTTTCACCCCATCTGGGCTGGGAATCCGGTTCCCTTAACCACTAAGCTGTGGGGCTAACCTAACTATGGCCTCTCTTTTAAACAAACACCACAGGGGGACCAGCAGGTGGCATGGTGCTTAAGGTGCTAGACACTCCCACATGGCCAACCATGGTTCGAGTACCGGACCTGGTGGCTTGCTTTCTCACTTTCCTTCTTTCTCTCTCTGTGTATCTCTCTCTGGTCAAATTAAAATAAATGAATGAATACATAAATAATGATTTAAAAAAGATTTCTTCTTAAAAAAAACCACAAAACAAAAAACAAACACCACAGGGCCAGCTGCAGTCTTACTGCTTTGGGAACTCCAGAGACTCATTCTGTTCTTCCTTTTGTGGACCAGGGTGAGGAGTAGAGGGATCGTGTCGTCTCTAGGCAGGTAATGAGACCAAGGTTTCAGTTCTTCATACTTACTTCTGGCAAACCCTATGTTCCCTCTGTGACTCAGTGTCTCCATCTTTAAAAGAAAAAGAAGGATCCATGTGGCCACCCCTCTCCCTCTGGCTCTTGGGGATACCATGGGGATACATGAGGTCATGTCTATCATGGAGCTGTGGGTCCTTGGGGAGGCCCTAGGAAAATACCAGCTGCTGTACTGGTTATGGAGATTTAAGGTTCAAGAAGCGCCCAGTGGTGTTATGACTCATGAAGTCCTGGCCACCATGCTGATCCCAGGCCCGACGTGGTTAGCCAGGTCCAGACTGAGCAGGAAGCCAAGCAGAAACCTGGCGCTCTCAGCCCTCAGAGGCAGCTGATGCCTTCGCCCGGTAGCCAGGATAGAGGTAAGGGGCTGGTTCCTGCATCTGAGTCCTTGAGTCTTAGGAAATGATATGTGCCTGTCATCGCAGCCCAAATGTCACTAAGGGGCCATCTCCCCTCAGTTTCGGCTCCTCCTGCAGTGGGAGGGTGCAAGGTGGCGGGGGAGGGGGAGTTATGAAAGGTGCCTTTTACCAACAGGAGACAAGAATCTTCAACTCAGAGCTGGAAGGCGGATCCCACCTCTGCTGCACACCAGCTGTGTGACCTTTAGACGAAGCACCCTACGCCTCAGTTTCCCCATCTGTAAAATCAGAACCACAATAACAATACATGCCTTGGAGGGTTAGTGTAAGAACTGAACACGTTCTAGACTTCTTAAAAATTAGTCCTTTTCATGGGAACCAGCAGTTAGTGTAATGGCTATGTCGCTGGACTCCCACGTAGTCGATCGCAGTTCGCGTCCCGGACCCGGTGGCTTAAAACTCACGCCGGGCGCGTATGCGTGCATACCCAAGATCCCGAGAGGAGAATGGAGGAGAAGGGATTGCGGCGTGACCATCCCCCCGGGGGGGTGATTTCTCGCTTTCTGTCTCTATGTCTCTTTCTGTCTGTCTGGCGAGCACATGCGCCCTATAGTGAAAATCTCTCCAAAAAAATTAGCCCTTTTCAAAAAAGTGTATTCACCTATTTCTTCCATGAAAGAGAGAGAAAGAGACTCCCACGAGGGTCTTCACACTGTGATTCACTCCCAGTCTCAGTTGGCCTGGATCTTGCATGCACATACACACCTAGTGTGCTCAGGGAGTTCCCAGGACACAGACCCAGGACCTTTCTCACATGGGTCCATCTGGGCCACTTCCATGTCACTGCCTGGCCACTGTCCGGCCTATGATCTAGAACGTTAGTAGTACTAGCAGGACATTTGGCATGTAGAAATTGCTCAGTAAGTGTAATGGGAGGGAGCGAAGAGAGAGCATGAGCTTAAGATAAGCAGACAGAGCAAACTAATGGCCCTCTATGTCGCTGGACTCCCACGTAGTCGATCGCAGTTCGCGTCCCGGACCCGGTGGCTTAAAACTCACGCCGGGCGCGTATGCGTGCATACCCAAGATCCCGAGAGGAGAATGGAGGAGAAGGGATTGCGGCGTGACCATCCCCCCGGGGGGGTGATTTCTCGCTTTCTGTCTCTATGTCTCTTTCTGTCTGTCTGGCGAGCACATGCGCCCTATAGTGAAAATCTCTCCAAAAAAATTAGCCCTTTTCAAAAAAGTGTATTCACCTATTTCTTCCATGAAAGAGAGAGAAAGAGACTCCCACGAGGGTCTTCACACTGTGATTCACTCCCAGTCTCAGTTGGCCTGGATCTTGCATGCACATACACACCTAGTGTGCTCAGGGAGTTCCCAGGACACAGACCCAGGACCTTTCTCACATGGGTCCATCTGGGCCACTTCCATGTCACTGCCTGGCCACTGTCCGGCCTATGATCTAGAACGTTAGTAGTACTAGCAGGACATTTGGCATGTAGAAATTGCTCAGTAAGTGTAATGGGAGGGAGCGAAGAGAGAGCATGAGCTTAAGATAAGCAGACAGAGCAAACTAATGGCCCTTCCAGCCCTGGGCTTCTGTGAACGGAAATAGCATGGGGTGAATGTCTCCCAAGCCTAGACCCAATGACATGGCTGCTAATCAGTTCAGGGGGGTTTGGCCCAGGCAGCAGTATTCTCTGGCTAAACTTGCTGGATTAAGGGAATAAAAGGTGCAGAGTAGGAGCAGGTTCCCACAGGAATCTGTCCTCCTTCCACTACAGCCTAGAAACAGTTCAGTTCTTTAATGACCAGAGCCCAAAGGTCTTTGGAGAGAGGTGTGATGACAGAAGACAAGTTCTATGATCAGAGCCCCAGGCTGGGCAGGGAGCCTTTACTCTTGTGGAAGCCGCCTGTTACGTTACCTGGAACAAATTTCTTAACTAGTCATCCTTAGGCGGAGGGTGAGGCTGCCGACAATAGGCTTCTGTTCTTGCTGCTTCCAGTTGTGTGACCTTGAGTATGTCATTTGACTTCACAGAGCTCTGGCTGCTCAGCCGGGGATGGGATTACAACGAAGCCTTCTCAGGGAGTGGCTGTGAGGATGGAATGAGGCAATGACTGATCTCCATGTAAGTTTGTGTGGTCAGGTGAGGAGCCACCTACACTCTGGTCAAGGGGCAGAGACTGCTCACCACCCTGGACTGAGAAGGAGAGGATTCTAGAACCTTCTCCATTCCAAACTCAGCCTACGGGAGTTTAGGTTAGGGGCAGGTAGGACCATCAGTTTTGTGTGGGAGGTTAAGGCTGAACAGAGAGGAAGGCTCCAAGCCAAACTCACCAATCTTTTTTTTGTTTGTTTATTTTTTAAAGGTTTTTGCCATAGGGTACATGTGCGCTTGCTGTAGACAGTGAGAGGGAAAGTAAAAAATCACCCTTGGGGGGAATGGCCACGCCCATCCCTCCTGGGATTTTGGGTTATGTGCATGCATGAGCGTGTGCACATGCACACACACACACACACGAGGCATGATTTTTATGCTGCCAGGTCCGGGTTGCAAACTGTGGTCAGCCATGTGGGAGTCTAGTGCCTTAACCACTGTTGGCCTCACCAATAATTTCTTCTTTACTTTTTTTATTTTAGAGGTTTTTGCTATAGGGCACGTGCGCTTGCCAGACAGACAGAGACAGAGAGACAGAAAGCGAGAAATCACCCCCCAGGGGGGATGGCCACACCACAATCCTTTCTCCTCTATTCTCCTCTCGGGATCTTGGGCACTCACGCACACACATGCGCCTGGTGTGAGTTTTAAGGCATCGGGTCCAGGACGCAAACCGCGGTCGACTACATGGGAGTCCAGCGACATAGCCATTATGCTAACTGCTGGTCCCACCAATCATTTCTTCTTGAAGCTACCTTACAAGAAAGCGCATTGGAAAGCGAATTGGAGCCTCAGTTCACCTGTAGACTGAGGAGTCTTCTCCCTTCCTAACAGAAGGAACAAATGAGAATTTGTCCTAAATCTTGGCTGTCAAATGTGGTTGGTGTTATTAAGGTACAGGAGCATACAGCATGGTACAGTCTGCAGACCATGAGCTGCCAGCCTGCTGGCCAGGTTTGATGCAAAATCTCATAGATTGTTTCTGTATGGGAGTTTACAATACAAATACTGAATTGTTGGAAAGTCATGATGCATTTTTGCATAGAAGAACAGAAAAATATGTCATGACTTTTTCAATGACTCAGTAATTTGTTGCAGTGGTGGGAGCCTTTAAAGGCAGGGAGTGATAGATTGTGATTATGGATTTTGCAGCCCTTCAGATAACATGCAGAGGCCTTCCCTAAGGGGAGGAGTTATTATACTAGCTGGAGGACACTCCAGGGGCACTGGGGTCACAGTCTGAAGCCGGCAGGCAGGGTTTCATTTGCTGCCCTAGAGACTGCAGATGGTGTGGAGCCCCAGGGGAGCAGTGCATAGGCCATCCATGTATGTCTGTACCCCTGGAGCACGCATGTGCAGGGGGCTCTCATCGGCAGGTCTCCCATAATGCTCTAGAAGCCACAGCCTGTCAACCCAAAACACACACCCAGTTCCACGGACGTGGTGCACATGCAGCTGGGGGCTGGTAGGAAATTGGTGCTGAAAGCCGGTGCATACGCAAGCCTAATTTTCCTAAGGGTGCTGAGGTGTGCGGGTCAGCAGTCTGCTCTGAACACTGCTTTGGTTGACGCGGTGACTTCAGCTTCTCCCACTGATCTTTTTTTTCTGTATACCAGGTCTCCGTGCTTCTTAGTTCTTCCTTCCAAGGCTACCAGCGTGGCCTATGGGGCCAGACTGCTTGGATTTAAATACTGGGGCTACCACTTAGAGTTTTGTGTCTTTGGGTAAGTTATTTAACCTCTCTGTCTTAGTTCCTTGTCTGTAGAATGGGAGTGATGATCCCCTAGGGGCTTGTTTGTGGAGACTGAACAAGTTAAAACATGTAAAGCATTTAGACCAATAGCTAGCCCACGGTGAACGCTTCAGAAATGCTGGTTAAACAAAGGAGCACGTTCTGGTGGCCTTGAGCAGAGTGGAGACGGCTTTAGGTTGCCCATATCTCTCGCTCACTTCCTCTCCCTCTGCCGTTTCAACACACAGTCTAAGAACGGTGGCTTGCTATGCACTTAACATTCCCGTTCCTGGTTCTGCCTGAATTCTCGGCAGCTCACGGATTCCATCCAGGAAGCTGCCCTGCCCTGAGCACACTCGGACTCTGTGAATCCATCTTCCTCCCTGGGGTTCTCGAGTCCTGACAGCTGCCGTGGTCTTGGATCTTTGAAAGATGAGTCTTCTTAGTTCTCCAACCAGTTTAAAGTCACCAATCTTTTTTTTGTTTGTTTATTTTTTAAAGGTTTTTGCCATAGGGTACATGTGCGCTTGCTGTAGACAGTGAGAGGGAAAGTAAAAAATCACCCTTGGGGGGAATGGCCACGCCCATCCCTCCTGGGATTTTGGGTTATGTGCATGCATGAGCGTGTGCACATGCACACACACACACACACGAGGCATGATTTTTATGCTGCCAGGTCCGGGTTGCAAACTGTGGTCAGCCATGTGGGAGTCTAGTGCCTTAACCACTGTTGGCCTCACCAATAATTTCTTCTTTACTTTTTTTATTTTAGAGGTTTTTGCTATAGGGCACGTGCGCTTGCCAGACAGACAGAGACAGAGAGACAGAAAGCGAGAAATCACCCCCCAGGGGGGATGGCCACACCACAATCCTTTCTCCTCTATTCTCCTCTCGGGATCTTGGGCACTCACGCACACACATGCGCCTGGTGTGAGTTTTAAGGCATCGGGTCCAGGACGCAAACCGCGGTCCACTACATGGGAGTCCAGCGACATAGCCATTATGCTAACTGCTGGTCCCACCAATCATTTCTTCTTGAAGCTACCTTACAAGAAAGCGCATTGGAGCCTCAGTTCACCTGTAGACTGAGGAGTCTTCTCCCTTCCTAACAGAAGGAACAAATGAGAATTTGTCCTAAATCTTGGCTGTCAAATGTGGTTGGTGTTATTAAGGTACAGGAGCATACAGCATGGTACAGTCTGCAGACCATGAGCTGCCAGCCTGCTGGCCAGGTTTGATGCAAAATCTCATAGATTGTTTCTGTATGGGAGTTTACAATACAAATACTGAATTGTTGGAAAGTCATGATGCATTTTTGCATAGAAGAACAGAAAAATATGTCATGACTTTTTCAATGACTCAGTAATTTGTTGCAGTGGTGGGAGCCTTTAAAGGCAGGGAGTGATAGATTGTGATTATGGATTTTGCAGCCCTTCAGATAACATGCAGAGGCCTTCCCTAAGGGGAGGAGTTATTATACTAGCTGGAGGACACTCCAGGGGCACTGGGGTCACAGTCTGAAGCCGGCAGGCAGGGTTTCATTTGCTGCCCTAGAGACTGCAGATGGTGTGGAGCCCCAGGGGAGCAGTGCATAGGCCATCCATGTATGTCTGTACCCCTGGAGCACGCATGTGCAGGGGGCTCTCATCGGCAGGGGGCCCATAATGCTCTAGAAGCCACAGCCTGTCAACCCAAAACACACACCCAGTTCCACGGACGTGGTGCACATGCAGCTGGGGGCTGGTAGGAAATTGGTGCTGAAAGCCGGTGCATACGCAAGCCTAATTTTCCTAAGGGTGCTGAGGTGTGCGGGTCAGCAGTCTGCTCTGAACACTGCTTTGGTTGACGCGGTGACTTCAGCTTCTCCCACTGATCTTTTTTTTCTGTATACCAGGTCTCCGTGCTTCTTAGTTCTTCCTTCCAAGGCTACCAGCGTGGCCTATGGGGCCAGACTGCTTGGATTTAAATACTGGGGCTACCACTTAGAGTTTTGTGTCTTTGGGTAAGTTATTTAACCTCTCTGTCTTAGTTCCTTGTCTGTAGAATGGGAGTGATGATCCCCTAGGGGCTTGTTTGTGGAGACTGAACAAGTTAAAACATGTAAAGCATTTAGACCAATAGCTAGCCCACGGTGAACGCTTCAGAAATGCTGGTTAAACAAAGGAGCACGTTCTGGTGGCCTTGAGCAGAGTGGAGACGGCTTTAGGTTGCCCATATCTCTCGCTCACTTCCTCTCCCTCTGCCGTTTCAACACACAGTCTAAGAACGGTGGCTTGCTATGCACTTAACATTCCCGTTCCTGGTTCTGCCTGAATTCTCGGCAGCTCACGGATTCCATCCAGGAAGCTGCCCTGCCCTGAGCACACTCGGACTCTGTGAATCCATCTTCCTCCCTGGGGTTCTCGAGTCCTGACAGCTGCCGTGGTCTTGGATCTTTGAAAGATGAGTCTTCTTAGTTCTCCAACCAGTTTAAAGCCGATTCATGCCAGTGGGAGTGAGTAGATGCATCCCAGTTTAGTATATATTACAAATATATATATTACAAAATACTGGGTTGTTGGAAAAGTCAGGACCCATTTTTCTATGCCAAAATGCATCATGACTTTTCTGATGCTCCAAGAATAGCTATTAATGGAAGAGAGGAATTCAAATGTTCATAGTACAAGGTAATGATAGATGTTTGAGATGACGGATATGTTTATTCTACTGCTTTGATCATTACGATGTATTCATGAATGGGAAAAACACACTATATCTCATCAATATGTATAACCATTATGTGCCAATCAAAGATTTTAACTAAAAGATAATAATTTGAAAAGAAGAAAGCTCAGGCCAGCTAGTGGTGTGGCGGTTGGGGTGCTGGATCCCCACATGGTCAACTGTGTGGTTTGGGTCCCAGACCCAGCAGCTTGAAGAACATGGCAGGCATGTGCACGTGTGTCTTGAGAGGAAAACTGAGGAGGCGTGGTCATCCTCCATGGAGGGTGCTTTTTCTCTTTTCCTGTCGAGTGTGCTTTTTCGCTTTCGCTGTCTCTCTTTCTGACAAGTGCATGTGTCCTATGGCAAATGAAAAGAAAAAAAAGAAAACAAGAAAAAGAAAGATGGTTCCTCTTCATTAAGGCAGGGCAAGCCCAGCCTTTACCCACACATATCCTGCTGTGAATCTGCCCCCAATTGTTGGTTATCACCTTGGATTGTTCTTGGGGTCTGTGGGGCAGGTGAAGGTTGGGGTGCTGCCATCCTCCACTCTAGTTCTGGGTCATCTCTGGAGTCCTTGGAGTGACCATGGCTGTCTACTGCCCTGGTTTTGCATGGGCTTAGTCAGGGTATTTTTGTATCATTAAAGGACATTTTATTGACTGTTCATTCCTTGTCTGCTTTATTGTGATCCGACTGAAGATTTAAGTAATAAAGATAGAACACTGTTGAAAAGAGAGCTGCTATAAACCAGCAGTACAGATAAGTAATTGGCAAAGGACTGCCTGAAACCTGAGATGGCTGTGTGCTTAAATGGTGTGCAGGTGTAATGTGTGTTTATCAAGTATCTTTAAGAGGGTCACACCTTGGGACCAGCAGTTAGCGTAATGGCTGTGTCGCTGGACTCCCACGTATTCCACTGTGGTTCAAATCCCGAACCCGGTGGCTTAAACTCACACCAGGCGCGTGTGCGTGTGTGCCCAAGATCCCGAGAGGAGAATAGAGGAGAAGGGATTGCAGTGTGGCCATCCCCTGGGGGGGTGATTTCTCGCTTTCTGTCTCTCTGTCTCTGTCTGTCTGTCTGGCGAGTACACACGCCCTATAGTGAAAACCTCTCCAAAAAAAAAGGGTCACACCTTTTCAGGGCAGCTGTGTAATGCAGCATTTAAGCCTGTACAAAGGGAGCTAGAACTCACATGACTCACTGTGGTTTGAATCCTGCCCCAGTGGCTTGAAAAACACAGTGGGTATGTGTGTACATGCATGCCCTGAATCCTGATGAAATGGAGAAACAGAAGGAAAAAGGATTGTGGAGTGACCAGGCCCCACTGGGAAGTACTTTCTCTCCCTGCTCCTCAAGTACACATGCCCCCTGGCAATGAAAAAAAGGCTTCACACATTTTTTTAGAAGTTCATGTCTTTCTTTAATAAGAAAGAGAGACAGACTGTCAATCACCTTAACAGGGTCCTCATGGTGTGACCACCCCCAGTCTCTGCTAGCCTGGATCACACTCAGGCATTCCCAGCATGCTCAGGGAGGTCCTGGCTCACATTTCGCATGTGAGTCCAGTCGTGTTGCTGCACCACCACCTGATGGCAAAAATTCACACCTTTGACATTATAATGCCACTTCTGGGAAACCATCCTAAGGAAATGAATGCTATACCATTTGCAAAATGCCACAAAGGTGTTCTTTACATAGTTATTTATAAAGAAAACTAGAAACAACTGAAATGCCCAGTATTGGGGATGAGGTTTTATAAAATTATGGCTACCACTGATTTCAGTGGTTTTCCACTTTCTGTACATTTATGGTTGCTTGAGAAACTCACTAAAATGGGTATTCTCAGCTTCCACTCCCAGAGATTCTGACTTAATGGGTCTGGGATGAGATCCAGCAATCTGCATTTTTAACATACCCTATATAATTCTGATGCAGATGTTCTGCAGCTCGCTTTGAGAAAACTGATCAACTTGATGTGATATTTTACAGTCATTTAAAATGATGTTTACAGAAAGATTATAATAACATTGAGGAATGCTTTATAAATAGAAAAATATGTAAAACTGTATATATAACTCTGTAGCCAATTATGAAATACAACTATATAAAGCAAAGCAAAAATATACAAAAATGTAAACAGCGGTGGTCTCAGGGTGGTATGGTTATGGTGATTTTCTTCTTTTTTCCTACATTTTCTGTATTTTCCAGAATTTCTAAAAATGAACATTATATTTATCACAAAACCCCATCAGCTCATAATTTTAAAACAAAAATTGTCCTCTTTGGTGCAAATTAAAGGGTTGTCTATTGGGCACCCTCT